CTTGATATGAGGATGCTTGACCATATTTGTAAGCATATGAGACTTGATTGGGCCTTTGAAAACTTCCTTTTCTTGATCAGAATACAAACCCTAGTTTTGACTGTATAGGAGACCTTTGCACTGTGCAACCCTTGGGGAATTTTGCAGCTTTGACTTGACAAATATTGAAGAATATGGGAGGGCAAATTTTGGGGTGCAACAGACGGACATGCCAATCTAACTCTTCAGGTTTAAGAAGATTGAACAGGGGCAGTTGTTGTACCCTAAAATTTTCCCTCCCATTTTATTCAAGACATTCTTCTAGGGTTCTCAAATGCTCAAGGATGCTAAAGAATTGATCAGACAAATTTTCCTCCTAAGCAATGGGTCCACAACTAGGGTTTTGTGTTTTTCAAGTAATTTTGGGTTGCAAAGGCCTAAAGTGATTTCCATGGTTCTCCATAGGTCTTCAACAATGTTCATGTCAAGTTTCAAGCCTTGCATCATAAGATTGTTAAGTCAATAGCTCTGATAATTGAAAACCAACTGTATTGGGTAAAAAGTCAACTATGGTTGGTTAGCATACAGTCAAACTTCAAGGTTTTTGATCAACATCAAAATTTTGAATTTATATCCATCATTTGATCAAGGTTTGATAATGATTCCTCAAGAAAAGCCCTCAAATCATCAAAAGTCAAAATTTTCCAAATTAGGGTTTCCTTAGGAGAAGTCAACTGAACTTTGACCAAGCATAACTTTCACATGCTTCATCAACTTTTCCCCAACCAAAGCCCATTTTTAAGGAAATTCAATTCTATACAACTTTGTATTTGTATGCTCAAGTCCAAAAATAGCTTCATTTGAGAGATATGAGCCCATAGATTATAGGTCATTTCAAAAGTCAACAAAAGACACTTTTTGTCAAGGCAACTTACATCAAGATAAATTCTCCAAATGAAATATGCTAAAAAGAGTAATTAAAGAAGACATCTTGATCTTTCCAAAAAGTCTAAGATCGCCTTCAAAAGATAAAAATTGAGAGAGGTATAACCATTTCAATTTGAGACATTTTGGTAAAATGCATGAAGAGCAAACTGAGCAAACTTGAAATTTTAGACTAATGGGCCTAACTTTTGATGTTCAAACATGTTCACAATGTGTTAGAGGACCTATAAATCCATTCATATATTTTTTATAATTTTTATTTCTTTTATTTTAATTTTTATTCTTTTAAATGCAAGTAAATCAAATAAAATATAAAATCATTGGGCCAAGGCGTATGAGTTTTTGATTTCAATCACATAGAGGCCCAAGAACACATGACAAACATGTCAAAACCGTGTGAGACCAATATGGAAGTATATCTTCATTATTTTGGAAAGTTTTCAATTGGTTTTTGGAAATAATTCATGTCATGATGGTATAAGATTCTTGCCATGTTTGTTTGACATATTTCCTCCCCTATATAAGCATAATGAATACCAATGACAAGGACACGAAAATATGGTCTCCAAACACCTCCAAAAAAAATCAAAGGATTAGGGAAAATATAAACCCTATTCTCAAGCAGTTCCCAAGCTGTTTCAAGCCTCATATCATCTTCCTGAGGTTGCCAGGAGTCAATACCAAGCCTTACTCATCGCGAATCAACCCCAAAACCATTCCTTACACTAGCTCTGATTGGTAAGTTGGTGAGTTTCATTTTACAAACTTCAGCGTGATTTCAATCATTGTAAGCATGCCAACATGATTCATATACATTATTTGAGTCGTTTTAACGTCTTACATGCGAGCTTTCATGCAGAAACAACATCGTGCCATTGTTAGGGCACGAAGCTTTTGAAGCTTCGAATCTTGCAATATAGGCACTGTTAGGCGAAACTAAACACAACATGGGATTCACAAGACCTTAATTAGTCAAATAGGGTCGTTTCTTTTCTGTTTCGTTTGAATTTCATAGGTTTGATTTTTACATCACCGGAGATGATGACTGGAACCACCGTCTAAGGTGGTTTGATCGGTGGGTGACTACATGTGGCCCAACGTGATCTCCTAATAGGTCCATTCAAAAAAATAAGGACCCACTCATGCGCACATGTTTTTGTTTGTCTGACCTTAGTACTCATTTTATATTATATACGTTTTGATTGGTTAAAGCTAACGGATGTAAAGACAACCCCAGTGGTAGTGCACTTGCCCTTAAGACTCTTGTGTGCATATTCCCGAGTTCGATCCAGGCGTGGAACATTTTTTTTCATATTTTGTGATTCTTAGAGGTCCAGTGCAAGCAGGCCTAGCGCGCGTCTCATACACCTCATGTCATCACCATCAGATACTCACCAAGTTAGATCTAACGTCCCAGATTCGCAGGCACCATGGAGCCCTTGGAGCCAGCCACATTGGATCTCGCGCAATACTAGGTTGGTGTTAATGGGCCTAGTGATTCATGTTCTTTTCACAACCCCTGGATTTACTTCTGCAGACCCATCACCTTTTTTATTTTTGTTTCAATTTCTTTTATTTTTGTTTAATTAACATAATTAAATTTGTTCTCTAATTAATTAAAATTAAATCAACTTAACCTTTTTTTAGTTAAAATCAAATTAACTTAACTTTATTTATAAATTAATTTAACTCCTTTTTTAATAATAATTGAATCAAAATTAGTTTCTTTAAGCTTTTATTATTAAAAAATTTTCATTAAAAATAATTTAGGGTTTTTATTTTAGGTTTAAATTAATTCCCTTTTCTCAATTAAAATCAGTTAATCATTAGGATAAATCATCAATTATTCCACGTTAAACAATTTCTTTGTTTCCTTCTACAATCTTCGCGCTTTACTTATTTTCGCATTAGTTTTCACAATTATGTATCTGCTAAAGGTTGTAATAGTTAATTAGGCTTCTCATCTGCTTTCTATTTCCCCCAACTTTGTGGTTTTATACCCCCTTCCCCAAAGCATTGTAATAGCATAAACTCTTTTCTTTTTACTGTTTTTACTTATTATTTTATAGTAATTAGGCGTGTATGGAAAGATAAAAGCAAACGCTAGCTAACCCTAATATACAAGATAAAATAACTTAATCAAAACACTATCCACACACGCACCTCTAGGGTGACTTCACTTATTGCCTTCAGATAAAACAGTCATGTCCCTTGAACGTGAGACGCTTTAGCAAAGACCCTAGGTTAAAAAGATCATAGTCCCTTGATGACCCTTCCATGTTGCCTCGGTAAACAATCTTAGTCCCTTACGATAAAATTGCTAAAGCATTCTACAAGTTTCCTTTATGATTGTATGATGACCCACGCATGTCCCTCATACATCCAATGATAGGGCTTCCTACTAACCAATGGTAAGATTACATTATCTAAAGGAAGAGGAAAAGAACAAAAGACTTTTGAGTAGTTAGATAGTTCTTAATCGCTTGCTCGCGAACATTTCAAAACATTTTTCACATAATGACACTTTTTCAACAAATATTGTCAAAATAAACATTTTGTATGCATTCTCAACGATATGAGAATCATTACAAAATTGTTGCACTTAAGCATTTTCAAAATACTTTCAAACACACATTCACAAAGAATCTTCAAAGTGAGCTAGCGATTAAGAGCCTGTAGTTAACTACAGATGAAAAGGGTGCTAAGACCTTCCCTTTTCATAACCTACCCCCCTGAACTCAAAAAAATTCTCAAAGGTCTTTCATGTTGTAGCAGCTGGTTTTTTAAATCAGAGTCGCCACTATTAGTTTTTATCCTAGTGAAGGGAATCTAACAGAAAACCCTGGTTCGCAGACAGAGATTCTAGGTTTCAGACTCAATTAGACGAAAGGAAGGTGTTAGGCACCTTTCACCCACCTTGTTCACAAGGATACTAAGCTCTAGGTTTAGGTTTGGGGTAAACTGGGTTTTAAGTTTTAAATAGAAAAAAAAGTGTCCTAATTTTTTAATAGGGGAACTCGCTATGATTTTTTATTGTATGCATACGTATCCTCTTATGAGGAATCAGAGTCTCAATTCGTAGTTCGTAGGGTTGGTGTTTTTTATAGGATCGCGTAGAATTGTTTTCGAATTTATCCTTGAACCTTGTCTGGGTTTTGAAAGGTGAGTGATTGTAGACGCAGTTCGCAGTTAATTTGAAATAATTCTCCTTAATCCTTTTTCGAAAATAATCTTGAGTTTTGATTATGTTAGTAGAAAAAATAGTTTGTAATTGGTTAGCTGTTTTGATATTTGATTTGATTAAGACGTGGGGCAGGGAGTCTGATATAGTCTCCTCACCACGTGGTCCGATATTGACTTCGTGCTTCTCGTTATGAAGGATGCAGAGGAAGTCTGATATAGTCTTCCTCACCACGTGGCCAGATATTGATCACGTGTCGCTCGCGGATGAAATATTCAGAATTGCGTGAGTTTTGATTATTTATTTTATATTTTTAATTAATTAAAACTAATTAACCTAAATAAATAATTAACTTAATTAACTAATGAAATATATTAAATAAATTAAAGCTAAACTAAACAAATAAATAGACTCGGGGTGCCTAAGTAAATTAGGGGGGGTGATGATAGCATTCTCGACCCTGATTGAAGTTAATCCAAAATGGATCAAAGTCCAACAAAATTCAACTAAATGAAATAGAATGGTAAATTAATAATTAAAATTTCTAAAGTAATAAATAACAATAAAACTGAAAAGGGAAAGAAACGTTACACCTAATTCTTGGATAGTAACAGTAGCATGTGAATCATAAAGCTAAACCAAATACTAACCAGTAGATATTCTCACTTTTCTTATACATCTTGGACGGCTCACCAGTATGTCACTTTCCTTTGTTTTAATATTTCTATTAAATACTCTACAATATATGACTAAACCAGGATAAGGCCAATTTCAACGGCCATTCATAGATGAACAAGTGGCAGTACATAAAAACAAAATAATAAAAAAGGCTATAACAGTAGAAAACGCAATATCAGTAGAAGAAATCAACAAAACCCACTATAATATCTCTTCTTTATCCTCTCTCCAAACAAACTGATGCAAACTCCATCTTTTCATGCTCAAAAGCAAACTCATCCCTTGAATCACAAATAAAGAACAAATAATTAGAAATCAGAATAGAAAAAAAAGGGATTCGACCTGTATTTTGCTTGGCCGGATGGTGGTGCTGAGTTGCGATCTACATGATGGTGAACGGTGGTTGCAAACGGTTGGAGACGCAGACTCCAACAGTGAATAGGATGCGTGATTCTGTGTGCGACGGTTGACCGGGAGTTTGCGGAGAACGCAGTGTGCGGAGACGAGTGGCGTGGAGGAGGTCCAGCGATGGGGTTTCGAGCAGATCCGATCTGGAGAGCGTGATGGTGGATTGGGGGTTTGCTTCTACATTCTCTTTTTTTTCTGCAGAGACAAAAATCATGACAGTTCTTCTAGATTTTTTTTGGGACTCTACTGCCCTTTTGTTAATGATTTGATTGTGGTTGTGAATCACTTTGAGTGTTATGGATTAGAGAAAACAAATTTTGAACCTGATTTCCCTAAACAATTTTAGCAGTGATTAATGGTTAGATATGATGTTAAAAATATGAGAATGTTTTTTGTGCAAATTTCATTGTAATTAGATACTGATTTCCATGGAATAGTAGTAAAATGGTTTGAAATTGGATGTGTTGTATTATGCAAGGTGATTTGGTTATGAATAAAGTTGACGAAGACTTTGACATAAAGAAAAAGGGTTTGTGGAAGAAATTGTCAGAATGAATGTATGACCTCCAAAATAGGGTTTCGTGTTAGAATTATAAAATGATTTAAAATGTAAATAAAAGTCAGATCCTCATACGGTTAAGACAGCATACAAATATCAATTAATAAATTGAAAATAAAAAGGAGTTAAAAAACATTAGAGAGGGAGCCTCTATCGGTCAAGATTGAAAACATAGAAAACACTAATTGAGAAAAATGTGAAGCGGATGTGGAATTGGAAAACAATGAAATCGTAGAATTCGTAGATGAATCGTTGATAATTGCAAAATCGTGGATGTTACCTTCTGTCTATCAGTCTTTCTCTCTTACCAATTGTGCTATATTATTTATTCAAAAGTAAAAGTCAATTGAAAATATATGACAGTGAACAATTATTTTCTGTTTTTTTACAAAAATACAAATAATTATTATATTTTCAAACAGACTTGAAAGTAAAAAAAAAATTTAAAAACTCAAAATGTTAACATAATTAAATCAAAGGAATTTTATATTTGTAACACCCAAATTCGAAAATAAGTTTGACTGTAGCACTAAGGCGGGAAAATTTGGGGTATGACACATGTTCTTTTCACCCTTTCCTTATTGGATAAAAGAAAAGTCACTGGCGACTCTTGCTATCCGCAACATTTACGATAAAATACAAAACCAAAAGTCAGTTCTCCCACCGTATTACACACACCAAGTATTTGACAAATTATTTTGTTTATTCTTTTGATAATTGATATTGGAAATAGTATTACAAGTAAGTTGCTATAAACAATTAATAACGTGTTACTTGATTGAAGTATATAAATCCCAAATTATTGTGTTCATTCCATACTTTGATTTATATTTGCATATCTGACATCCAATAACTTGGTTCGTATAGATGTCACTTTTGAAAACCTTTCTCATGCACTCTTTTCAAATAAATTTCAAAACCATAATTTTTATTTGGATTTATTTTTTGGCTTGGTGATCTATTCACCCCCTCTAGATAAGGCGTCTAACAACTTTGTGCACAATAATGAGAAAGACAATCTCGGTAAATTTGACGAGAAATCCTATGAAGGTATCTTTCTTAGTTATTTTCTCTCAAGTAAGACATATAGAATTTATAATAAAAGAACTTTAACTATTGAAGAATCTATGCATGTATCTTTTGATTAATCTAACACCTCTAAAGAGGATATAATTGTTTATGATGATGGTGAGATTTTAGAAGTACATATGGAATACAATGCTAAAAGTGACATAATTGATTAACCGGAGCACGAGGAGGAAAAAATTCAAAAAGAACATAATCAAAATGATCTTTCTTAAGAATGGAGAACTCATCGTCATCACCTAATTGACAAATTTATTGGTGACATTAGCAAAGGAGTTTCAAAACGACTAAGTCTCAAAGATGCTTGCTTAAATATGACATTTGTTTCCCAAATATAACCTTCCAATATTAATGAAGCCTTAGAGGATGATCAATAGATACTTGCCATGCAAGATGAATTAAATCAATTTGAAAGAAATCAAATTTGGGAACTTGTTCCTAGGTTAAGTGGTAAACAAATCATTGGTACCAAATGGGTGTTTAATAACAAACTCTATTAGAATGGTATAATTGTTCAAAACAAGGCATGGTTGGTGGCCCAAGGTTATAATCAAGAAGAAGGAATCGACTTTGAAGAAACATTTGCTCAGGTTGTAAGGTTAGAAGTTATTCGTTCATTAGTTGCTTATGCTTGTTCATTAAATTTCCACTTATTCCAAATGGACATCAAGAGTTTCTTCTTCAATGGACACATCAATGAAGAAGTTTACGCAAAACAACCTCCTAGTTTTGAAGACTTCAAGAATCCTTCACATGTTTTCAAGTTGAGAAAAGTTGTTTATGGCTTAAATCAAGCCCCAATGGCATGTTATGATAGACTTAGAAACTTTCTTTCGAGAGAAGATTTGAAAAAGGTAAAGTTGATACTACATTATTCATGAAGAAAATCAAGGATCACACTTTATAAGTTCAAATCTACGTTGACGACATCATATTTGGCTCAACAAATAAATATTTATGTGAAGAATTTTCAATGATGATGCAAGGAGAATTCGAGATATCTATGATGGTAAGATGAACTCTTTTCTTGTACTTAAAATTAAACAACTATAGAATGGCATCTTCGTCAACCAAACCAAGTATTTTAAGGAAATGTTGAAAAAGTTTGATATGAAAAATTGTAAAGAAATAGCTACTCCAATGAGTTCTGAAACATATGTTTATCAAGATGAATCTGGTGTTCATATAGATATCACCAAGTATCGAGGTATGATTAGTTCATTACTATATATGTAGGTAAGTTGTCTTGACATTATGTTTAGTGTTTATCTTTATACATGATTTAAATCCCTAATCTAGAGGAATCTCATCATGCCTATGTGAAAAGAATCATGAAGTACCTCAAAGGAACAACAAATGTCGGTCTCTGGTATCCTAAATACAATGTATGTGATTTAATTAGTTATTTTAACTTAGATTACACAGACTGCAAAATTAACCAGACAAGCACAAGTGATACATGTCATATCCTAGGAAACACTCTAGTGTCATGATCCTGTAAAAAGGAAGCACATGTTGCTCTTAGTACAACTAAAGCAGACTATACTGCAGTAGGAAGTTATTTTGCATAAATCCTATGGCTAAAGTAACAACTTTGTAACTACGACGTAAATCTTGGATGCATTATGTTGAAGTGTGACAACACAGGTGCTATAAACATAACCAAAAATCTGATGATGCACTCAAGAACCAAACATATAGACATTCGACATCATTTTCTATGAGATCATGTGCTTAAAGGAGATGTTGAAGTCACTTTCGTCTATACGCACAACCAATTGGTGAATATCTTAACTAAACCATTGGCCAAATAACTTGTTTCAAAATTCGAAAGGAGTTGGGAATATTGAAAGAGCATGATGTTTGATGATCACACAAAGTCAGCTCTGAACTCAATATCATGATAACAATCCTCTTTATAAATTTAATCAGGATAAATGTTTTATGACTCATTTTATAAGTTGATTCACAACTTCATATGTGAATTAACAAATATGTAAATGTTTTATGACTCATTTTATAAGTTGATTATTTTGTGTATATTTGTAGTGTATGATATGTTATTATGTGTTTATTATATGATTCTCAGCCTCCATGCCTTAAATCTTTAAAAAAAATCAAATTTTTTTTGACCAATAACCAGTTACATGGTCGATTTTTTTCGTTTTTCTTTTAAAATTTTTAAAGGGGAGCATTGTTGTAGCCGGATACACACTTCTTAGTCAAAACTCTTCCTCTTTCATTCTCTTGGCAAACCCTATCCTTTAAACCTTCATTCACCTCCATGCAAATCCCTATGAAATCCTTAATAAGCCACTCACCTATCTCTTCTATAAATTCACCCAGATCTCTTGAACACTCCATCTAAATCTCACTTCACCCCCAAAAATCACCAACATCACCAAAATCCCCAAAACCCCTTTTCAGCTCAGAACCCATGGCTCCTTCAAGAAAAGATAGAGGTAAGGGAAAAGTTGTTGATGATTCTACTGGTCATGAACCCATCAGTCCTGATCCTCTGAATCTAGGAAGGTTGGTTCAAACTTCCAATGATAAGCAGTCACTGCTTGCATTCATAAATAAGGTTCTTACAAATCCCAAATACGGTAATATGTCAACTTTTCCCGCATCTAGCTTTGATTTTATGAACTGCTAGACTTTTAAGGGTTAGGAACTGTTATCGCTAATTATGGTCCATATTTTCTGGATTTAGTTAAAACTTTTTACTGTAATTTGTCCATTGAACCTGGTTGTGTTGTGACCTCTTGTGTCAAGGGGACTAATATTGTGTTGTCAATTGAGGATTTTAGAAAAATACTTAAGTGTTCAATTTGAAGGCGAGAGAATTCATCAAGGTTTCACTTATAAATGGGATGATTACGAAATGACTAAGTATTACTTCAACATCGATAGATTAACTGAGCATGAGATCTACACTAAGAGAGCACGAAACATTGGCTCTGCTTCAAACCGTCAAATCTTGTATTTCACAAATTTGTTGATAAGTGATTGAATAATTCACTATTTCATTGCCTACATCCTTATGCCAAATCATTCTAATCATTCCCAAATCAATGATATGGAGATGGAAGTGATATATGTTGTTAAGAATAAGTTAAAGGTTAATTGTTCCTACCTAATCATGCATCATATGCTGCACCAAAAGAGCCTTACCGGTGGACTTCCCTATGCAAGACTAATAACAAAATTCTATAGTTTTATCGGGTTGATTTAGGTGGAGAATTAAAGCTTAAAATGAATCCTAAAGAGCATGAGATCACAGTTGGGGCTGCCAATAAAAATATGGAGATTTATAAAGATAAGGATGGGATTTACCAGCATAAATAAACCATATCTTCTACTTCCGCAACAACTCTTATACCAGAAGGTGGAATTTCTATTGAGATGCTTTTTTGACAAGATGTGCTTCATAGAGAATCTCGCCATAACCGGGTTTCATGACCTACACCTTGAGATAGTTGATAAATGCTAAGAATGCTTCAAAGTCACTCACGAAAAAGAGCATTTATCGAATATACAAAGTACTTATTCAAAGAACTATGCACACTTTGACAATAATTTGATACATCTACTAAATTGTGTTTAACTTATGTAGGAAAAGATCAAAGGATGGTAAAAAGGCAAAAAATCATGTCCTGTTTCGCTACAGCGAGCTTGCAACAAAGACAAGTTCGCTAAGCGATCTTAATTCGCGAAGCAAACTTAGCTCAGAAAAACAAAATAGCCAGTTAGTTGCAGCAAAGAGAAGTGAGCAATAGAAAAGGCCTGATTTGCTAAGCGAGTCTCGTTTCACTTAGCAAACCCAAATCAGAAGCAACGCAGTCCAGTCGCCAGAAGCGAAGAATAACGAGACATGTTCGCTTCGCGAGTAAAGGTTCACGTAGCGAACTTTTAGCAGTTTATTGGAGGCGGTTTAAATTCAAAATCTGAATGAAGAAGAAACATACACTTCGCTAAGTGAAGTATAGTTCACTTAGCGAACACAAGCGGCCAAAAACACTATAAAAAGGACCAAGTACAGTGCAGAAGGGATATCAGTTTTTAGTTTTATATACAGTTTGTAATAGTTGATATTTATGATCCGGAGAGTTGTAAAAGACACTTAGGGGGGGGGGGGGGGAATCGAATAATCGAGCTAGATACGCACCAAAGAGCAAGGAATCATCGTTGATGCTCATTCATCTCCAACTCTTCCTTTTTGTACAAGCTACCATGAAAATGGCTAGCTAAAATCCCTCTCTTGTTATGGATTGGATTACTCTACTGAAATTGTATGTATATTTACCGATTATACTTTTAATATAAGCATGTTGTTATGATTATCGATTCTATCTTGTTCTTAAAAATCTTATGAATTTGAATGTTAATGAAAATTGCATTTGGAATCATGAATCAAAGATAATGAATCACTTAAACACTAATTTCTAGACATAGAATTATGTTTAAGATCCATTTGAATACTTGAGTTTAAATACCATTGGTTGGTTTAATCGGTTGAGACATCATTAATTAAGCAAACCGAGGGAAATATTGAAATTGCGTGTAGACATACATGTTGTCTTTGAAAAGTATGTGGAGATAGGAATAAAAACATGGTTATTGATGTTATGCAGAATTAATCGGTATATTACATACGTAAACGGTAGAGGAAACCCAATCCCTGTAAGATTACTCTTTTTCTTAAACTTGCATTTACATTATTTCGTTTAATTTACGTTTAAATACTATTCTCAAACCAATACTGTTAAAAACTTTAACTTAAGACTATAGCAATAATCTGATCGCTAGTAATATCGCTCCGGTCTCTATGGATACGATAACAAAAAACTTTATTTTGATTTACTTAACATTAATAGCCGACCTCAAAAGAAACCAAATCCAAAACCAAGAGGAGAGTGAAGAAGAGTCGGAAGACGAAAGTGGCTAGAGTCTCTTGTGTGTTTTCTTTAAGTGCCTTTTTATGGTTTCATGTTTCGTCTAGCATTATGTCCTTGTTGTGTCTTTAACTTCAAGTTATGTTATCTTTAAATTATGTCTTTGGTTTTGATGTTATGTGTGTTATCTTTTTGGAATTCTGGTTATGTATTATGCGAATGTTATGAATTATGCTTATTTTATGAATTTTGGTATGTATTTTCCTTATGTATGCTTCACTTTTATCCATATACTCCTTTTCCCCTTCTTTTTTATATTGAAAAAGTTGGAGAAGTTATGTGTGTATATGTATATGCTTGTTTCCTCTAATATGTGCAGAAAATAAACAAAGTATCCAAAATCTTTGTTGATCAAGGGGGAGAAATCAATGGGGGTATCTGAAGGAAAATTGCGATCAATACGCAGCGGAATATAAAATTTTCCTTTAGAGATCCTTACGAATGAGCATGGTCAGTGATAGAAAGTTTTACCTCTTGTGGCGATTCAGACTTTTGATGTCGTGATCACGAGCGTTGATGAAGAACAACGCCTCTACTCAGTCCACACGAACAGATCGCTTCCGGTCACAGTGCTAGCTGATCACGAACGGAAACCTTGAGTGAGAGAGAGAGAGAGAGTCAAAAACGAAAATGCATCAAGTGAAAAAACTTCATCACAAGGGATCTATTTATAGAATCACTCGTGTGGGCTACAAGCTAAAAGCGCAATTAAGGCTATAAGCTAAAAGCCCAATTAAGCTTATGGACATCATACCTTATGATGTACCATATATCACTTATCCACGTGGTACCTTACCACTTTCCGTATTATACTTAAGTGCACCGTACCTTACGGTGTTCCTTATTTATTCTATCTCTCATCAACCTGTCCTTATGTGTGTGACCCTGTAGGTTTTTGCGACGTTGGCAATTATATTAAATTACACATTTAATATAATAAACAGTGAGCGGTATCTAGCAACACATCACTGTTACCCAAGTCACGAAAATGTCATGTGATCTGACCAAACCTTTTCCGTGATAATATTTGTGTTGTACAATTACCCTTTTGCCCTCATGTCTATATTGAACACAAGGCATACACTGTGTCACCCTTGCCCAGTTCAATATTGGGCCCTTAGACATTTATCCTGTTATGCAGGATGAGCAAATTCCATCTAGGTCACTCATGTCCCTTAGCATGCTTTGTGAAGTACCCATCAACCATCTTTATAGTCATCCGATTACGGATGACGTTTGATCAGCAATAAAGTACTTGACTCTACATCTAAGGTCCATAGTGGTTTCAGGTCGAAGGGTGGTATACACCATTATCATCATGAGAATAACTTATGACACTTTGCATAACATTCTATGTAGTATTCTCATAACGGGTCAATCCAGTATAAATATTACTCCTAATATTCATACCTATGTCAAGACTTGATAACTCCTTATCTATGATCCATGAGATGTGATCATCAATCTATCTTCATAATAATCTTAATGCTTTAATGTTATCCCACTTCACATTAAAGCTTGACTACGGATACTTTAAGAATAGTTTCTTATGTTTAATGGGATCTCATGATTAAGTCACACTTAACATTTCATTAAACCAATAAACCATTCTAGGGACTTTATTATTTTGGAAAACATAATAAAGAAATGCCTTTTATTATTAATAAATAATTCAATACAAGTACCAAAAGTATTGGCCTCTAGGGCTTACACCAACAGTATCAAAGTTAGGGTTAAGCATTTTCTTTAAGGATATTCAAGAATTTCAAGATCAAATGGTTTTTATCATAAAAAAGGGGAGATTATGAAGATAATATTCTCCGACATTAGTTTGTGTTTTGATGAAGACAAGTATATCTATCAAGATCAAAATGCATTATCAAAAAATGAGAAAAAAACTCTATTCAAAGATAGTTATGGTAACAAGACTTGGATCACAAGCAATTGTCAAGATAACATTGGACCTTAGAGGATTGATCTCATTGTTAAGGTACAAGTTACAATTAAGCCTTATGTATTATCATGGTACTCAAAACAATCATGAATTTTTCATCCATATGCCTTAAACTCTTTTTTGAAGGTTACGGCTTTGAGATTATGATGTTACAAACTGATTTTCAAATTTTTCATCAGCTGTAATCGATTACACAAAAATGTTAACCGTTTACCAGAATGAAAAATAATTATTTTTGGAACATTTATCAAGTGTAACCGGATAACTAAACCTTGTAATCAGTTACACCCTCAAAAAATTTGAAAAATCCTTTTAAGCTTCAGTTGTAACCGGTTACGATTATGTGTTAACCGGTTACCACTGAAGCAACGACACTTTTTCACATTAAATTTGATTCTAATGAATTTTAAATTTCATTTGTCAATCATGGGATTGATTCATGGTATTATACTCCTTCCAAAAGGTATAATAGATGTATAAATACCTAAGGATTCAAATTTTAAAAAGTTTTACCTCTTTCTATACAATTCAAATTCAAAACTCTCTCATTTTTTATTAAGTGCTTGAGTCATTATTTTTTGTGAAAATTTCTGCACACATTTTTATTGCATAATTAAAAGTTTCACCAACAAAGTTCTGATCACTTTGTAATTGATAAAAGTTCAACTCTTCATATTTATTCAAATTCTATTTTTTGTTCACTTGGTTTGAGTGATCATTGTATACAATTGAAAGTGGCGTACTTTCTCCTGTAGGTTGTGAAATCAAAGGTGGCGTGCCTTTGTGTTTAGTTAGATAATTAAGAGGATCTGATTGGATCAAGTGTAACATTTCTAACATAGTGAAATCTCTCACAGGGTGTTGTTAAGGACCAAAATATGGATATATTTGTTAATAATTTTGTGGTCCTTTACACTCTATTTTGTTGATTAGTAGTGTTTAAGCTTTCAAATTAGTGTAAATAAATAATCCTTAGCTTATGTATGTAAATAGTTTGGTTTGCTTACTTTTATGCTCATTCTTGTAAGTTTCATAACTTTTTGAGAAGCTTTGGAGAATTAGACAAACATGGATCAAGCAAGGTTGCTCAAAAGTCAATTTTGAGATAATTTTATCTTCAAGCCCGCTAAGCCAATCTTCAAGAGCGCTACGTGAAATTTTCCATTTGGCAGAGGCATTATTTTAGCCTACTAAGTTGGCTCAGCCCGCTTAGCACAGTCCCCTGAACACAACCAACATATTTCGCAAGCCCGCTAAGCATGGTAAGCCCGCTTAGCGGGATGTTACTTTTTGGCACTTGTATAAGTGGCTATTGGATATTTTTTATGATCATTCTACTTTCTACAAGCACCCAAAATCGCTATTTTAGGTTAAAAAGTCATTTTTCTTCATTTGTAACTCAAATTCAAAGCTTTTAAGCTTCAATTTGTGATCCTTTCAAGTTTGATGCTTCTAAAGCTTTGTTATTTACTTATTGCTCAAGATATTATGGTTATGGGTAGCTAAATTCTTCCTTGTGTCAAGATTGGAGGCAGTTAACCTTTATTTTGTATGTATTTATTTTGATACTTTGTATGTTAACAA